ACAGAAAAAAAAACCAATATGCAAAAGTGTATGCTATAATCTTAATTCTAAAAACAAGCATAAAAAAGGACAAAAAGGAACTAAAAAAGCTAATGGTGACTGATTACTACTGTTACCACTGAGTGAGAAAGTTACACTGATTTGTTTTTCTTTAAAAGTTTCTGTAATTTCCACATTGGTACAATGGTCATGAAAAATTCTGTCATCAGAAATTAATTTCTAAATTCACGTAAACATTATTATGCCAATATAACACCTCTAGCCTTATGTTTATAATGTACTTCATAGAATGGGTATTTGAATTCAATTTTTAGAGTAAAATCTAATTAAAACTTTAAAGAATCAAATACTCACATATTCTTCTCTCTCATGATAAATTTCCTGAAAGACACTATTGCGTAACTCAGTTATTTCTTGTTTTATTTTTTCAATTTCAGATCCATCATGGTCATCAGACTTTAATCAGAAAGAAAAAGTAGTTTTACAGGCTTATTAAAGTAGACTAAAAATAAATCTTCCTTTAAGAATTCATGCAACTTCTACAGTAAATTGCTCTATGCTTTCTATGTATCCTTCAGTACCTAGCAGACCACAACAGACTCTTCTGACATTTGCTGAATTAACTTAGATCAGTTTATTCTAACAATGACTTTTCTAAAACCTACAAAAAGGAATAATAGAAAATAAAGACATAAAATCAATTACATAGATTTTTCTTGTCTCTTAATTTACTGTAGATTTTTTGGTTATAAAGATGGCCAACCACTGTCATAAAATAAATGTTAAGAATAGCAACCAGAATTGATCAACATTTATGTGCACATATATGGAAAGTAACATTCATCGGTGTTGGGCAGGTGGGAGGAGGGATGGGTAAATTCACACCTAACGGATGCAGTGCCTGCTGTCTGGGGGATGGGCAGGCTTGTAGCTCTGACTGAACAGTGCAAAGCCAATTTATGTAATCAAAGTGTTTGTACCCCTATAATATTCTGAAATAAAAAAAACAGCAACCAGAATACAACTGAATACCCTGAAATTGTTTTCTACATAGATCTGGTTAAAAACAAAACAAAAAAAGGATGAGTAAAGGTGTGACACATACTAGAGGAAAGATGATGTAGGACTCACAAAACTCCGGTGATAATAAATTAGCCAAGTTAAAAGCTATGTAATATTTTAAAAGTTAGATTTCTCCAAAAGGTGAAAAATTAAGACCAAAAAAGATCAGCTTCCAGCCGGGAGCGGTGGCTCGCGCCTGTAATCCTAGCACTCTGGGAGGCCAAGGTGGGCGGATTGTTTGAGCTCAGGAGTCCGAAACCAGCCTGAGCAAGAGTGAGACCCGGCTTCTACTAAAAATAGAAAAAATTAATTGGACAACTAAAAATATATAGAAAAAAATTAGCTGGGCATGGTGGCGTGTGCCTGTAGTCCCAGCTACTCGGGAGGCTGAGGCAGAAGGATTGCCTGAGCCCAGGAGTTTGAGGTTGCTGTGAGCTAGGCTGATGCCACGGCACTCTAGCTAGGGCAACACAGTGAGACTCT